ACACCAGTCAAGCAGCAACTCAACAACTACCGTTCAAGGGAGAGATCTCCACACCACAGAGAGGAAGTGGCAGAAGTTGGCGGAGTGGTACTGAATGAAGGCCTTCTGTCTCCTCCACTCCACTTGCATTTCCACCAGTTTTCTGCTCTGCGGAAGGCTTTTGACGGTTTGCCGCATTCCCCTCTTCTCCCAACCTCATCACACCTCTCCTTTCCATTCCCTCTTTCCACAGCTACTTCAAAGTTGTGCTGATTTTGCAATGTGTGCAGCACAGTACCTTCATCAATCCTATGATGCCCTCCTTGGTTGTCATCAAACTTCCACCGGATTTGGTCAATTTTCCTTTGCGGCTTTTATTACCTACTTTGTTTAATACTGCGTGGCGCATTTATAGTTTGTAAATCTTATTTTATTTGGAAATATTTTGATGCCCACTTTGATCTAGTTTTTTGCATATCTCATTTTTTTTATTTATTTATCAGACTAATGCCAGCAGATCCTCTTATTTCTGAGGGGGAAGGGAGCAGCAATGGTTTATCCAAGCGGTAAAAGTGGTCAGTTGCTTGACAGGCAGAATTGAAAAGTTACGCCTGATGACGTCTATAGAAGAGCGCTTTGTTGTGGCGTTTGGTGGAAACCAATCAGCTAACAGTAACACCACTACATATTTGAGGCTTGAGCGCCTTTGCTGTGGCAGGGTCAATTGCGAAATGGCAACCGCTCAGAAACTACCTTCCAAGTATGTCAAGTTGGCGAAGACGCAGCTCGGTGAGGATCCCAAGAACACATCCGCACACATTGAGTCCCTTCGACGCTGGCTGTCTTCAATGCCACACCTCACGTGTCCAGACGGTAGGTCGCCCAGCTCACATCTCCTAAGCAGGCACACTCATTTCATGGATCGCCACTCCTCTTGTTGCAATGACGAGGTGGTGTATCGGAGGGCAATGTTTTGTTAACACTGCCTACTCGGTGCGATCTTTGTCGGGTGCCAATTGACAAGTATTTCTTCCTGTCAAATTAAATTTTTTTTTTACATTTTTTACTCGGAGCTAAGAAGTTCGTTACAGTTTATGATGACAGGGCACAGCGTAACGCGCACGAATAATGCGATTGACAGGCTCACCTCGATTCTAGTTGTACATCGTGTAAACTTTGTTTAGCAGCGAGTGTAATTCATTAAGATTATCGCTCGTAGCAACGTAGGTGATGCAACTTCCTGTGCCCTCGCACGGGAATTGCCTGGTTGTTTGTCGACATTTATGCATCATTAAACATTCACTGTGCTTTTCAGATGACGACTTTCTCCTCATGTTTCTGCGACAAAGCAAATTTGTTCATGCCAAAGCACAGGCCAAACTAGACAACTTCTGCACCCTCTCTTCCATGAAGTGCATCGGCAATGTCGCCTGGAGTAGTCCACTTGACTTGACATCTAAGGAGCTCGACAACTACCTCAATGCGGGGTAATGCGCCTGCAACCATGCCACCTGCCCTCGCACTCCTTCTCTCTCGCTCCATTAGGCACTACTGATTCGCCGAACTAGTAGCACGAGGGGAGTAGTTGAAACGCATTCTTCGTTCGGTTCCCATTGGCTGTAGTTGTTAGGGGGCGCCTAAGTAGGGGACAGCGTCAATATCTTTGTTGCACTTAGTGGTGTAATTAATTTGCTGCAAATGAAAATTGGTATTAGATGAAGTTACTAGCATTTTTATGATCAAAATGTAGCATCCATCTCCCTTTGGACTACATGGACGACGGAAAAGTGTGCATATGGATCCGTCCAGGTAATCTAGCCAACTTCATTTTCAAAGTGTAGGTGTGTGGAATCCGGACGAATTGTCAGTGGGGCAGGCGCTTTACTACGCCTACAAAGTCATTTTCATGATGGCTTTGGATCCGAGAACCATAATTGCTGGTACGGTCATTCTGGTCGACTTCACCGGTGGAACCTCAAAACATGTCATCAAGGATCCGAATGATATGAAAGCGTGGAGTAGATTTATGCAGGTATGTAGTGGAGGATTGTACACTTCACCAAGTTTGCGATGTACGTTCAGTTAATGCATCTTGGAGACACCAGTGCTTAACTTACGCCCAAATTTGACTTTTGCGGTGTCCTTGCTTAGCAAATGCGGGCAGTGGCTACGCTTGAGATCTGTAGCGATTTTAAATTCGACCGAAGGACATCGTAAGTACCTGCGCATTAGCAAAGAACATCTCAGTAGTTCCGCATGCTTAACTTGACTTATTTCGAACCTTCTAATGTCATTGTTTGCAAGCCTTACTAAAGGCATAATGACCTTTGCATAATAGCTAGATGTATTCTAACGCAAAAAATCACATTCAGGATGAAGAAATAAAGTATTTGCATACAGTAGGGTTTAAAATGGGGAGGCGATAAGCGCACCACTATAGCGAATATAAAAGTACAACTGAGGTAAGAGCGATTCTTGTGGTTAACTTTTGGTGCATTGTCCGTTTTGGTAAACATTTTGTTTTGGTAAGACAAATCACAGAACTTTTGCATTGCACAAAACAAATTACCGAATCCCTTAAGTGGGATTAAAAAGGGAGGTATTCCAACTTGAAATTTATTTTAATCACATATTTGTCACAAGAGAAAAACAGCCCATCTTTGTCCTTAGGAAGCAATGCCATTAAGACCCCGTCGCATAATCTTCTACAACGAGGGGAAGCTTCTTGATGCCATGATGAGCGTCATGATGTTCTACATGAAAGATAAGATGAAGGACCGGGTAAGTCACTCCACCATTGTCAACTTGATGGGGAGATCGAGAGGCCTTCACAAGAACGCGCTTTGCATGAATGATACCAATAGATGGTGAGGTGCGGTTCGGACATCGGCAAGGCCTTCGAAGCTGAACCTGGATTGCGAGGTGTGCTGCCACCAGATCTAGGTGGTGAAGGAAAGTCTGTTCAGGATCGCATTCGTAAGTCAAATTTCGGCAGACTGCAAAAGTGCACTTACTTCGGTTCAACATGCCTCACCTCGCTCATCTGTCTCTTCTAACTTCTGAGCTTAAGTCGACTCATCCGGAGTAGTCCACGAGTTTGCGTCTGCGAATGATCTCACGGGCATGAACAATGTAAACGGAAGTGTTCCTGTGCTTTAGAGGCAAACAAAAGGCGTTTTCTTGAATTTTACGGGAAAGACGATCCAACAGCACGAATTAAGGTGGACGAATCAAAGAGGCCGGTCACGGCGCGTGACTTCCTGCGCGAGTACAAAGACTACAACGCAAACGTCATGGGGGCGAGTGGAACATACATCAACGTGGGTCATGGTGAAATTTGATGATTAAATCACTTAATATGGCACCATAATTTTAAGGAAATATAAGCCTTGATTAGATCTACGCATTTGCGTCGATGACATACTTGAAGCTGTGCAGAAAACTTTGTTCGAAGCAGAGGAGGAGAAGGAAAGTATGTCGGTAGGGCGGACGTTTATTGAGAAGGAATGGTTGTAGGCGGTGAAGAAAAGGAAAAGAGGGATCGTGTCATGACCAGCAATTGTACTACCCGGTCCACTTGCGATTCGAAGCGCAAGAGCAGAAACAGTGCCACACCTGCGTTTATTGGTGACGCTTCTACAGTCGTGCTTCGCGCACAGCAAAGAAGGTAGTTTTCGGCACGTTTTGACCGCATTCGATATGAGAGCAGCAAAAGTAGAACTATTACTGCTATCTAAGGAAAGAAAATAAATGTAAAATGGAGTAAGGAATGTGACAAAGCAACATTTAATGAAGTTGAGTACATAGTTACTCCTATACCTGTGTTCCACACATGCATCCCCATTTCATTACGAACGGCATTTAGCACCACGACATTTTCATCATCTCCAAAGTGCCTCGTTTGCACCCAGTTTCCTCATGGACCAATAAAGATGGGTCCAGTGGGATGTCGGAGTAAAAATTGGGGCGATTTATGTACCACAGCTAAGTAGCCAAACTAGGAGGTCGAGACAAATGTCGTGTTTGGAAATAAGAAACAGCAGAGCTGGGCATCAACTGAAGCCTTATCTCGGAAAATGTTGTGAAAACCAAACTTGCAGTTTATAGATAACAATAGAAGTCTTCCTCCATGACTTCAACTATTCCATCCGCACCTTCATAAATTTTGCAGAATCGGAAGGCATAGCTAAATACTTAGGATGGGAAGCGATGTTATCACCAAATATGTTGGGTGGAAATTTAATCCTCTGCAAATAATGAACGTTTAAAGCAGGAAGGATGTTGAGTCCATGCAACAGGTTGTTCCGAGAGAGCGCGAACAAAATCAATGTTTGATGAGAGCCAAGGAGGGCATCATAGGATTGATGAAGGTACTGTGCTGCACACATTGCAAAATCAGCACAACTTTGAAGTAGCTGTGGAAAGAGGGAATGGAAAGGAGAGGTGTGATGAGGTTGGG